ATTTCCTAGAACTGCTAACTTCCCCTGATGTGAGTGGGTACTTCGATTAAATGATGGTTAAAGGGAGAAAAGGGAGAAATTTGAATTCTCAGTCAATCTCATACAAAGTCTACTACAGTAAGGTCCTTACCACCAGAATGCCTACATCTCTTCATAAGGAGTGAGCGAAGCTCTCATGCCAGGCAAACTTCTCACCATACAGAGCTGTATTAATGCTCCTCTCATGCTTTATGAACTGGGTTAATAACCATCCCCACTACTTGGCCATCACTGAGAAATTCCCTGGGCTCTTTGGCAGCAGCTGCCTCTCTCTCACAGCCATGAGAACCAGACACCTGAGCTGAAAAGTGACAAAAGTTTGCATAAGACTGTGTTTTGCAGAATTCTGTGTAAGGAAGCTGGATTGCAGAGGTGGCAGCTGGCAAATTTACAGAAGTGTACGTCCAACAGGCAGCTGTGAGTTTTGCTATTTACAGATTGTTAGCATAACAGCTTGGAGCATGTGCATGTATATGAGTACATGTATTCATGTTTTGGTTTGTTTTGGGTTTTGTCCTGGATCTACTGACCTCTGTGCTTATTCAACCTTTATGATGTATTACAACAGCCTGCTCTGCACAATTGGGATTCAGCTAATCTAGCTTGAGAAGGAAGGTTCCTTGTCTTGGCTCTTGCTGCATAGTTAACAAAGACAGGCACCTCTAGAGGATGCTTGTTCTGCTATAAAGAAGACAACAAAATGCAGAAGATGGTTTACTCTCTGCTTGTTCTGCCTTTCTCTTTCAAAGAAAGGAAAAGAAACACTACAGGTTCACCTCAGTAGCTGACAGATATTTCATGTCAGTTCAGTCTTACCAGATATAGCCACAAAAGGATAGCCTGTATGCTACAAGACCTACAGGAGACTAGTGTCCTCCTATGGTGCCATCTCTAAGTCAACTGAACTGCACTTTGCATGACTAGCTGGCACAAGGACATGAGGAGCCTAGTACCTGGTTTTCCAGTATGGTCTTAGGTGTGAATGCAGGTAGCATAAGATTTATTTTTCTCCGATCCAAGGAAGGATGTATTTGTAGTCCTTAAAACTGGTATCAGAAGAAATCACTTCAAAAACCAAATCAAACTAAACTAAAACAAAAAGATCTTGTGTATCCTGGAAAACCAGCGCGTACTGAGCTAGGACTGGAAGAGCTTAGGAACATCACCATAGGGCTTGGCTGCTCAGTGACTGTCCATGCACCAGTGGTAGGATGGGGGCCTTTGCCTCCTGGGCAAAGGCTGCTTGCTCCTCAGAAGTTTTCAATGATATGTGGAAAGTACCTACAACCCCTGTCTCAGAAGAGCACAGTGAAAAATCTTTCTCCATCTACTGTTCCTTCTACCCATTGAATAATATACCAGATAATATTACTATAATATTCAAATGGTTCATCTCACATGCACAAGTATGCCAGAAGCTTTTTGAGATGAGTGTATTTAACACAGACTCAGTGACCAAGCAATTGCAGAAGCTGTCACGGACTTCAGAGATTAGGTTTGACCAGTCCATAATCATAGACAGATCTAAAATTCACTCAAATTCAAGGAAGTTTTCCTGTCCCACTTCAGCCCACATTCGCTGAAAAATAGCTTAGTTGTAAAAAATCCTAATTTTTATCCAAGGTTCTTTTCAGTTATTGTCTCACACCAGTCACGATCTAAATTAGAAATATGTGGTTGTAAAACAGTAGAAAAAATACTTTTAGAAAGTAAACCAAAATAGAGGTTTGAAGGGAAAAAAGAAAAAAACAAAACTGGAAAAACCCAACCCACAACTTCAAGAACATGATACAATAGATAACTCATTTATTTGTTGCTTTTGTCTTTGTGGTACGCTAAAAAACTTCTAATTTATTTGCTGAGCAAAGAAATTATGTCTTATTTTCAGTTGTTCCTTTTGACAGTCTCAAATTCTATTTGATTGAATGATGAAGCACCTACGAAGCATTTCTGCATAAGTATCTGTTACAGAAAGAAGATTTAATTTGCTCAGCCTTTCTCTGTGTTGACTACATGAAACTATATTAATGAATACAGTTTTAGTCAGGTGATTTTTTTTTTCGCAGCAACAAATCCCAGTGGACGTGAGGACTCTGGCAACATTGTTGCTGGTGTTATACTAACAATATGCTACACTACCTAACCTAATTTCAGTGTAGTAAAGTAAAGGCAAGTTTGGCCTCTGGATCCAGGACTCCTAAAACACATGGTTTCTGAAATTTTGTTTGTTGTCACAAAACATGGTGATGGAAGATTGATGTATACAGAAAGTTTTACCTTCAACCTTCTTTCAGTAACTAAAAATATAATTGAGAAAGTAACTAGAATATAACCCAACATGACTTAAAACTAAACAGAAAAAGTAATGACAAATCTGATACTCATAAAATCATTAAGTGTCTGAATAGAACAATGCTTCATCTATTCTTGTCTGCTCTTTCTTAAAACAGTCTTTTCTTCTTGCTTCTATGTTGCCTTTCTGTAAGAAAAGTTTTGGTGACTTAGTCATTATTTTCAATATTAATTCAGTCCCTTTTAGCACTAATTACCAGCATCACCAAAGGCAGGCAGAGATGCCACACAGGATTTTCCCTGTTGATTCCTCTTCACACCAATGAATCAAATACCAGAAAAAGCTGACAGAATAAACTGTATTGGCATGGGGACAAGTCTCAGGAACTGGGAGAAGCAGTCATGCTCATTTTCCCTTGTCATTTAACTCAGGCAATATATACACACAAATGCAAAGGTGAAAGCTAATCCCTTAACAGTTTTCTCTATGTCCGTCCTTTGATATATTGTTGGTGGGCTTTCCACATTGCAAGTCTACTGTCACCTCGTTGCTTGGAACTCAACATTTTCAGGAGATAAGCAAAGATATCTCAGAAAGATAATAAAAATCATACCAGATCTGTAGTGACCTCAGTTGACTTAAATTTCAGTTAGCAGTATTTGGCTCTAAATAACACAAGAAAAGAAGAAATGGAATTTTTTCCTGGAGCTATTTTAAGGGCAATGACTACTATACATAGAGTCAGAGTAAGTGGTTGAAGTTAAATTTAAACGACAGACATATTTTTAGATGTTTCCAAATAAAGTCTCATCTAACAAGTCTGATGAAAAAGAGGAAAAACAATAGTAAAGAACCCAATCCCTATGCAAAGAAAACCAAGATTTTTCATTGTAGAAGGCAACACCAAAGGAAAACCAAACTGTGTGGTTTCAGCTACTTTAACATTAAAGGACAAAGCTCATTTCTGAGTCTTGCCTGAAAAAGGGATGTAAACTCAGGTCTTCTGTTAATCCAGAATTTCTGCTATTCTAAGACAAGTCTAAAGCAGTCTCACTCTGGTGCCTGGCTTCTCTGACTGTACATAAAACTCTTGCTTATGTGAATGAGATTAAATTAATGGAAAATTCAGTATGCTTGCACAGATAACCTTGCTAAACTATCCAGGTCTGAGCTTTGGAGCAAGTAATGTAAACACTGAAACATTCTGTCACTGCAGTACAATTAGATTTGAAATTTCAAGCAGACTGGACTTAGAGGTGCAGTAATGCTAGTGTTTAGTTTAGTGTGTAGAAGTTAAAATAAACTATTTCCCATTCTGTCTATACTTCATTTTATAGAAGATCTCTATGTGCACTGTTTCTTATAGAAAGAAATATTACTTTCTCAGATGAAACGAAGATGCAATCTGTTACTGTTTTCTTTTTTTGAGGAGTACTCATTCTCTGTAACAAAAACACAGACTAAAAAGTGTTTTTATTTACTTCCACCTAAAAGGTGTTGTTGCGTTGGAAGAGCCATCTCACAAGTCATGCTTAGAGAAATATAAAATTCGGTTGCCATGCTAACAGGAAATCACTCAACTGAGTCCAGTAAAACAAAAGTGCATAAATAACATTTCCTCGTAAAAACGGGGAAATATTAGATTAACAAGGCTGCAGGTTTTGCCAGCTGAAGACAATTTCACAGATGCGTCCCTTTGCAGAGTGGTGAATTTCTGTCGGCATTTAAACCTCAAGAGCATCAGCTGCTTCTTCCCAACAGGACCATAGCTTATGTCCCATCTCCTCAAGAATCAGGACCTTGCAGGTGTAAACTCCACGCGGGGACGAACCCCACCAGTCCCTTTCTGTGCTCCATGAGCCGTCCCACGGCCAAATTTATCCTCCTCTACTCCAGTCACCTGCATCCCACCATCCTCCAGGTCCCTCCGGGAGGGCTTCCTGACAGGACCCCGACTTTTTTTGGAGGGTCCCTGCGGAGTGCGCCGGCGGCGAGCGAGGTCCTCCCGCAGGGGCACCTCTGCGGGAACACCCCAGCTTGGGCCGCCAGTCCCGGGGGGAGCAGTGGCAGCCCCTCTGCACCCCGGCTCCGCGCCGGCACCGCGGGAAGCACAGCGGCGAGGCTCCCGCACCCCACCGGTGTGCGTGACCCGTGAACTCCCGCTGTGGCGCTGCCGGGTGCCGCGGTGCGCTCAGCGCCGTCCGGGCCGGCGGGAGCCACGGGGCAGAGGCCAGGCCGGCGGGACTCCCACCTGCGGCCGCTCTCGCCCGTGCCGGGCGCGGGGGGCAGATGCAGAGCATCCTCCGCCCTCACGGAGCGGACCCCGCCCGCTCCCTGCGATCCCCGGGCGCTCCGCTATCCTGCAGGTGTCATCCAGCGACCGATGGATGCCGCTTCCCACGGCAGCGGCTGCCAGGGAAAAACATGTTTATTACATACAAGAGAAAGGAAGAGATCCTAAGGCTCCTCTGGACTGCCACCAAGGGCGTTCAGTATGTCGTTTTCCGTTACTTCCATTGGCGCAAAAAGTTACCTCAGACAGTCTTAGGGACTTGTGGGTTTTTTGGTGTTTGGGTTTTTTTTGTTGTTGTTTTTTAAGAGGAACAAAAAAGTAATCAAAAGCTCAGAAAGAGAATAGATCAAAGGAACAAAGTTGACGAGAACTTACTTGGTTTAGGTGTTTGCGCTGACAGCCGGCATCTTCCGTCAGCAGTTTTAACAGGTCACGTTTTCCCATGGAAGTTGTACCTTTTACAATCCCGTTTGCAAATTAAATCCTTTTAGAAGCTGTCTGTTTTATTTCACTGGCTGTCGTCCATCTCATCCACTATCCCCGTTTTTTACTTTATTTTCTCCATGTCTGCCACACATGCAGGCACTCTCGGACGCACGTCCACGAGTCAGCGGGTGCCCATCACCTTCGGCCGGGGGAACCGCGCCTGCCGCCGGGCTCCGCTGCAACAGATGAGGAGCAGGTTCTTCCCCGGCTGCTTAGTGCGGCGTCTCCTTGTTCCCTCGGGGAGCCTCATGCCGGCTGTAAAAAGTAACAGCTCCTCCCGATGCGGCGGTCCCCTCCGGAGCGCTGGCTGCGCGGCGCGGGAAGGGAAAAAAGACACCGAAATACCGGCAGAAGGAGCGCAGAGGGGCACACGCCGGGGTTCTCCGCGCTTGCCGCTGCGCTCCCTGCTCGGCCGGCAGCAAGCTCTGCCTCAGCGAGCCCCCCCAGCCGCTCTCCGCTCGCCCGCCCCCGCCGCGCTGCCCCCCGCGGCCGCGCCGCTCCCCTCGCCCGCCGCGCCCGCACCGCCGCTGCCCGCCCGCCTGCGCCCCCCTGCGGGCGCGCCGCGCACCGCGCCCGGCTCCGCGGGGCTTCGCGCGGGGGCCGGCCCGGGGCGCTCCGCGGTGCGGGGCTCACCGGCTGTCCCCCCGCGGAGAGGGAGCAGCGAGAAGGCGAGAACACGCACCGCTCGGGACCGCTCAGAGGCGGACGCACCAAGGAGCAGCCTCGACTCTGGAGGAAGTTCGCTGTCACATCGCTCGGCATCTGGGAAAGCCCCAACCCGCTCCATGCAGCCGCGGTGCGGCTCTTGTGAGTCCGCCTCCGCGGGGGCCTCGCCCGGCGCCCTTCGAGCCCGCAGCCGGGATTGGGTTCCGGCGCGCGCCCGACGCTTCTTTCCCGAGACGCGGTAGAGGCTCTGCCCCCGGTGCGCCCCTGGGCCCGGCCTCCCATCGGGTGGTCCCTGCCCCTGTGCTGCGCCAGCTTCGCCCGGTGCGGCTGGGTCAGCCCGGCCTGGACGTGAAGGGGACCGAACCGCAGCCGGGATTTTTAACAGAGGAGCGGAGGAGACGAGGCTGCTAGACACCAACTGCTCACTTTACTTTTATTTTTCCTAAAAAATTATGATATATCTTAAATGCTCGAACTTAGAAATACGATAGGAAAAATATGCAACGTGCAGAGGCAGAGATGCACGACAGAACATCCTGCCTTTTTTTTTTTTTTTTTTTTTTTTTAGAGAACCCTTTGGATTCGGCCCCGTTCTGGGGTCTGGACACGGTGCAGGCAGGGTGGCACCTGCCACCGTACTCAGAGCCCGCCGTGCCCGGTCCACCATCCCTCCACTCCCCCCCATTCCTGCCTCACCTCCCCACCGGGAGGCTGCTCCCCGCGTGGCACTGCCGGGCAGCATGCCACCACTTTCTGACTTTGGCCGTCTCGTTGGGTGAAGAGCTTCCAACTTGGCATTCCGGGGAAGGAGGGGGGTGAAATAAGCCCAGGGGAGCATCGGGAAGGGCCGAATGCCAGCAAAGTGCGCACTGACAACCCAGCCGCCAACAGCCCCCTTGCTGCCTGCCCCGCTGGGGCCAGGCTACGCAGGACGGCGGGTGTGGGGTGTAAACAATGCCAAGAGCGAGAGTATCCGTAGTGCTGGCTTTCACCGGCGTCCCTGGAAGAGGTTTCAGCGCATCGAGCAATGAAGCTCTTGATGAAGCAGGCGAGCCTGAAAATGCCATTACAGCGAATGTGAAGGAATCGCCAGCCACACTACTCGAAGGCACCAGACCTCCACGGGCAGCAGAGGTGATGCAATTAATCTGCACTAAGCTGAGCAGTGAAAATGCCAGATGGCTTCTGCTCTGGAACTTCCACGGTTGCAGCATCGAGCCTCTGCATCAGGCTGCTGTGGGAACCACTGGCATACGTATTTTAAACGTGCCCCAAATTAGATACCATTGAGATTTCAGCAGAAAGATACTGCCTTTGGGGACCTGCTCAGAAAACAGCCTCCTGCCACTGAGCAATGCACAATACAGGCAGGCTATAACAGGTCTCTGCATGTCTCTTTCTAAGAGATGTTAACTGAACACGAGAGAACTCATATTGGTTCAAGTACAGATCGAATGCCCAAAGCAGCTGCTTTGGGAAGCTGAGCCAGTAATTTGAGTAAACACACATATGTATGCATATGTATGTGTATACACACGTAGACCCATACATGCATATCCACATAAAGGCAAGGAGAGAGAGTTGGGTAAGTAGAAGCACCCTAGACAGCCAGAGAGCCTGCAATGAAGGCTATGGCATTGCATTGAAATTGGTAGTGTGAGCTTATCTACCTATTATTGGAGTATTGGTACCCCTTGTGCAGGCTACCAACACTACTGATATTGCAGTGTGTTGCTACAGATTGGAAGTTACTTTCAGAGGTACTTCCCCAAGTAGAGAGTGTTTTTTTTCCCCATGCATTTCCTTATTAGATCTTGAGAAGCCAACTTCTGTTTTGAGTGTAATTTTTATTTTTCACAAGCAAATACCTCTATAATTAACAGTATTTCCTTTGTGTGTGAAAAGAAATATGACATTTCTGCTTTGCAGGGCTGAATGCAACATAGCACTATCAATATGCTTTATGTTTCCTGGCGTTTTACGTATGATAACCTGTGGATCTTGCCAATCTTGTAATTTGCTATTAAACTAATGTTCAGATAAAATCTCTGTGGTATTACTCAGTTGAAAATTAAGTAAACAGAATTTTATCTCTGATTTGGGACAGCCAGGTCTGGATATTGGCAACATTCTGAGTGCATGCTAGTATGTTTTATTCCTAACACGTACTAGCTGCCAAGTGTTTCTCAGCAGTAAGTACTGTGGCAAGAAGAGCAAGCAAAAGGGGAAAAATTAAACATTCTCTGAAACCTGTATCACATATTGAGGTTTTAGGGGTGATACGGTAACAGCATGAGTGGACCTTCCTTTAATCTGCTCACAGTGTCACACCAAATTACATTCCTCTTGGGATCTTCTCCATTTCTACCCCCCATGTTACGCCATCCCCCTCAAAACACCTGCTGACGCATGCCCAGGTGCTGACCATTTGCAATTCAGCCAAATCTTATATATTAAAAATAGCAAGCAGAGAGGTTTTTTCCCTTCTCTCTGCAGTTTGTGCAAATATCACTAGGATGTATCTCTCAATTTTATTTCATAAACTACTCCAAGGAGAAAAACATAAGATTAAAGGCAGCTTAAAAAAGAAGATAAGGTTGGAGCACTTAGAAAAAACTAATTGATTTCACCTTCTAATATTAATGGGTACAGGTAAAAACAGCTGCAGGAGCTGTGATTCAGTATTAATTTACCCAAATCAGTGAAACTGAATTGTCTTACCTGGAGAGATGGCTCATTATATTCAAAGAAGAAAGGAAAAAGCAATGCAGAAATTTTAACCATATTTTCTCAATCAGTACCAGGTAAATGGTGCCATAATATTTCTGTATCTCAGCTTCTTTTCTTTATGTGTTAATGACAGCTTTTCTTACTAGTAGTATGAATATTTAAGGGATTATGACATTTTCTTCAAAGATGAAGATTTATATGCATAAGAAAGAAATTTAAACTATTTAAAATAATCTTATTCAATTTTTTCAAACATTAATTGCATTAATTTTTATTATTTTTGGATAATGGAGGAAGATTTCCTCATATTTCTATTACTTTCATGTAATTTTAAATATGCTTCTACTGATCTATTGCTCATTAGCATGATGTAAAATGTGAAATCACACAGTGCAATAATATCTCTTGGGGCAGTTTAGATTTTTTTCTATGTTTGTTTTGGAGACTACACTGGCACACAGAATAAGGATTATAATTTTTTTTCTCTGTATTAATCTGATTTATGAAATCTGTAACAAGTTAATTCCATTGGTTCTATTGTTACAGATCACGCACTTCCCCCAGACAGAACTTTTTGCAAGCAGTAAATTGTTCTTGCCAGCCCACACCAAGCATTCCATGCTATTAAATCTTTTCTTTCGCATAATTCAGTGTATTGCCATTTATGTACTTAAATATCATTAGACAAAACTCAAGTTTCCAAGACTTGAGAAAAAGAGATTCCTTTCATTGAATGACTGAAGAACACAAGGAATCTATGAAAGAAGGAGGAGACCCCAGCAGAAATCTTTTTTGTATGGAACATTTATTGGCAGAGATATAGTTCTCATGAAGGTTTAGTGGGGCAAAAGGATTGTGAGTGAAGAGAGAGACAGGAACATGCAAGGGAAGGGAGACATTGATCCAGGGATGTGTATAAATAGTAACACTTTCCTTAAAACAGGCAAGTACTGACCTCAGCTCTGGGTCTCTTTCACTCAGGCTGTTCTTCTGTGCCAGATAGACTAGAATCTTGAACTATATTTCTTTGTTTCTTAGTTCTTTGTTTTCATTAAAAGGTAAAAAAAATAGAATGGGTCAAACACAAGTGAACTACTGGAAAAAATTTCCAATACCAAATTTTAGTTATTCAGGTGAGAAGATATTTGGGGTTTGTAATTTTATAGAGGTAAGCAAGTCCCTTAGCTTTATTGACAGTTAAATTGCTATTTAATTTTATTTCCACATCTTATTTTGGAAGCGTGCAGAATTCTGTGTAGACATCCGATTTTATTACTACTTAAATTGCAACAATTCCTATTTTTGGTGGACAGCAATTAAACTTCTTTGCGTACATTTATCACTTCTACAGAATTCATATCTGTTAATTTTACTGCCATGCTACAAGCTCTATCTCCTTTCTTCTCCTAGCCAGAGTTTTTGAATAATTTAAGCTTATTTTTCTGATATCAGAGGATGGAAGTTGGTGCACTGAGGTTCACTGTTTTCTTTTGCAATTTTTTAATGAATAGCAGAATAACGTCACTGAAGTTTTTGGTGTTTTTAAAAGCCATTTAACTTTTGTTCTCCATGATTATTTTCAGATATCTGTGCTTCCTACTAAGCACTTACATTCTGTTAGAATACTCAGGTGTTACATTTTTGAGGTTTTTCTGTCAGTCTTTCTGTAGAAATTTTAGGAAGGTACAGGTCTAATGTATCAGACTCAGTGCTGGAGTGGGATGCAGTTCTAGAGTAGAGACATCTAAATTTAAGTGTATGCATTTGAATTGCTAAATGTCTTAATACAGTGATGGGAGCTTAGAGAAAACCTCAGCTTTGAGTGTGGGTTTTAACTTCTTGATGAGCTTAATAGTGTCTTAAGCATTCTACTGAAGAGGGGAAAAACCAAAGCGGAGATGCCTCGTGCTGCTTGAGATTCCCAAGGCTATCCAAGATGCCTGCAGAAGGTGAACAAATAGTTTTTGACCTGCCTCACCTTGCCAAGGAAACTGTCTGATGGGTGATCTTTGCTTTTC